TTCATTTCTTGCAGCTCCAAGCGGTCCCAGCCACTTCAAATTCCCTGGGTCATGAAAATGGAAACCATTTTCTGATGGTCTCATTAGTTAGCTGGATTCGCAAGGTCATTCTCCCGGAAACCTTCAGAGTTTTCCCGAAGGTTTCCACGGTCCAATAGAGATGAAATTGATTTTGCAAACATTTGAACCAGAGATTGAACGCCAATGTTGAGCAGCCGTTGAAGAACGGGTATACTACAAGCAAGTGCTCCTTAATAGCTCCTGGTTGACATGATAAAAAGAGTGAAACTTGAACGCGTAGTGGTCTGTTCGGCCTTTTCAAGTCGCTTGCAGCGGGACTCTGGCCTTGATCATATCCAGGGCACCAGGAGTTTCAAGCCATGCATCATATGTCTGCTGAAGCACATTCTGCATCTCCTCAACAGATCCATCAGACATGTACTCTGGGCGCGCTGTCAAATGGCGACCCGGCTCCATCAAGGCAGGCCAAAAATGTTCGTTGTTCTTATCAACATGCTGGTACAGCGCATTCACTTGACCAATCAATTCGTTGATCTTTGGCAAAAGTGCATCTCCTTCCAATGCCGCCCAGTTTTTAAGTACGATAGGGCTACGCACACCAGCCTCCTGAATTTTCCTAACAATTTCGACGGGAAACTGATGGCCTAGAAGCGCCGAGCCAGCCATTGACATAAGGTCAAGCAACAGCTTGATTTTCAGCAGCGTAATCGAGACGGTGTGACTCAGGTCTATGTACGTGGTGCACATGTAGTCAACCAATTCAAAGGCACCCGCATCCTTGATGTTCATATAGGGCTGTTCCAGGTCGGCCCAATCGTAACGGGGGGGCTCAGTTTTCCACCATTTGACAAAATCATAACACTCCTGATCCTTGTCGAGCCGGAGCATGAGGGAGGGTACCATGTCGCGCACGCCCATGTTGTCGCTACGACACAATCATAGCAAACCCATACAATCATCCAGCTGAGCTTGCACTGCACTGCGTGTCTTTGAGCTTTTCATGGCATCGATAAGGCCCCACCGAGCCCTCATGTAGTCTCGGGTATCAAGAATCCCCCAGAAGTGACCAACACCATTAGTGAACACATCTTCTGGCAAGGCTAAATCCGCAGGCTTTTCGCGCAATTCGGTTTCTTCCTTATCCACCAGCCTTTTACTCTCGGCAATACGGTTGCAGATGCCCCGATGGGTAGCCCAATCGGCGACCTGATGTTCCCGGTTGCAGTAGCGGACGAGCTTGCAACGCGCGCAGCGCATCTTGCTGGCTGTGCTACCGCAAACATTGCAGCCGTCAACTAGAACCTGCGTGGTGCTCGTTCCTGTCATGGCGCTCACTGTCCACTCTTCCCTCTTCCTCCGGCTTTGAAAGTTTGCCTCACGGTCGGTATCACGTGACTTAGCCATGGGAAAATGGCATTGTGTTAGTGACAACCGCCATTAATACCAGCTAGAATGGTTGATCATCAGATGCCATTGCCATTGTGATGCTTCAAATCCAGTAGAGCTGTGAGCATCAAAGAGTGCTGCGACAAGCCAGAACGAAAAAGACCGCACTAATGGAGGAATATTAGGTGAGAACCACTGTGTCATTTTCTTTGTAGTACATTTCGACTAAGCTTTCTTTTTTCATCCCGGTCAAGGTGGAATAATTGGCGTTGCACAGCGAGCCCGGGTTTCTCACTTGAAACCGGTGAACTCTGCGCAGTTCGGACGCACAAGGTCCAACCTTTGACCATCCGCTGTGCATGGCGCACGCCCGGGAGAAGTTTGCCCTCGCCATGAACCTAGCTGGCCATGCATTATGGCAAGATCCGCAGCCCGCCGATTCGGAGGAAGGTGGCTGGCGCAATAGTCGTCACATGCTTGGACCAATTCGAGGCCTGAGAAGGATGGCCACTTTTATTGTCTTACCCACACTGACACTGCGGGGTTTGGGGGGGGTCAAGATTGCCTGCGATCTTGGTCACGAGCAAAGTGACCGTACGAGCGCCTTCTCGAACGCGAGAAGGATCCATGCCTTGCGGAAATTGAGTTTCCGCTGGTAACGAAGACTTTTTACGGGTCACTTTGCTCGTGACCCTAATGAACGCCTTCTTATATGAGAAGGCCCTCTGACTGGCGGAAATACTTATCCGCTTATCACCAAGACTTTCCGGGACTGCCGGATGATAGGCTCAGTCATGAGACCATTGTAGCCAATCACGAGTCCTACTCATCACCCTCACACACATTAACAACACCAAGCAGAACTCTAATATATGATGGTGCCAAGCGGTTGTTCAGACCATTGGCATTGAACAACCGCTTGCACTCTAATATATGATTGCGCCAAGCGGTTGTTCACACTTTTGGCACTGAACAACCGCTTGCACTCTAATATATGATGGTGCCAAGCGGTTGTTCAGGCCTTTGGCGTTGAACAACCGCTTGGCACCTCGACGTGGAGATTCTCAAATCCAGATTCATATTTAATCATGACGCATGTCACGTCATCGATGCTTCCGGGAATGTCGGCGTCCCTGGTGCACTCAGTTGAAAAGAAGTTGACCAGATACATTTGTGATATCTGGTGATCGTTCTTATATCTCACAGCCTGATTTCGCACCGCATTGACAATCTCGGATTTCCGAAGTAACTGTACCTTCAATTCGTAACCAACAACAGCAGCACTCGTGTCCTTATCCAGAAGCAAAAGATCCAATGGCATTTCTTCGCCCTGTGGATGCTTGACCTCAACTAGCGTAGTAAATTTTGCGGAAACGCACCCTATTCCTCGGAGCACTGCATACAATTCGGCCTGAATCACTGCCTCAGCGGATCCAGTTCGGTTTCTGCTCAGGGGATCATATATAACATCTGAGAGAGCAGATTGAGCAAAGCTAATACACATGTAAGCGGACAAGATAAAGTCACCTACCTCTGTCGACATACTGCAGGGCCAGGCGTAGCAGGCTGAGTCCATCAATGGAACCATCCTTCCGGCGTGGCACGACAATCGTTGGGTCAACGTGGCGACGGGGATACGCCATACGCAATAACAACATGCGGACATATGACCCAGCAAGCGCAAGTTGTACCACATCGACTTTTACTGCAATCCCCATATCGACGAGAGACGAGGCCGCCTCTTCGTCAGAGTAGTCAGGACGTATAGGTCCGTCAGTACGTAGGAGGTGAAGAAGTAACGCTTTCGTCGCATTTGAGGCCTTCTGAAATTTAGAATGGATTCGTTGCACCATTCGATTAGTGTTGGTAATATTTTCCTCGACTTGACTCAGCTTTAACTACAGTAGATGATGAGAGGGAACAAGTAGAGATATCACGCAAATTTCTTGCCAGTACCTTTTCCCAGTCAGCCATAGTTACCAACTCCACTTGGGTGGAAAAAACAACGGCAGCACACGACACTAGCAAGCCAATGTTACCATTGGTAAAGTAGTGGATATCCGCCTTGGCCTCATCATCGATCTTTATATCGCCATTTTCCTCCACCGCTGATAGGTACTTTAGCGTCTGCTCGAGAGAAAGCGTTCCAACGGGCGCATCCTGTCCATTCTGGAATGGAGATCGGCAGCGGTTAGGGTCCATCAATGGATTCTCCAGAGCTGTTTGAAGGGAACGCTGGGGTGGCTGAGCATGGCTAAGAGATTCGTCCGGCGTGGCCACAAGAGGAGCCACTGGAGGTGTCTGCAAAAGCATTTTCGTGAAAAGTGTCCCAGCTCCCAAAAATCCCTTGAAAAATGCCACATCCTCCCCAGGGCCACAGAGTAATTTCATGAATTCGAGGAATTCATGGCGAGCGACGATGTTAGTGAGCATCGACGTCATCTCGTCCATAATCCAGTACCAGCGCTTGTTGCCTAGAACAAAAACCATAAGCCCTGGTCAACCCTTGCAAAAAACAAGGGCTTGCACCATATATTTGTATCAAATCATCCAACATGTCCGAGCTCGAAGAAATGGTATTGTTGTTCAATATCTGGCGGCCAAGGCGCTTCCAAAATCTCTCAGGTTTCAGCTCAGGCGCGGTAGGTGTCAATGAACTGCCATCTGTGAAGGAAACCTCAACGTTGAATCCCTTAGCCAGCGCCTTGGTGGCCCATTTAAGGATAGAAGTTTTCCCAGTGGCATAAGGCCCGTGAAGCACTACAAGGCGTTTATTGCGCTCTTTTAATTTGTGCAGAGCCTCAGCAGCCCATGGAAGCTCCTCAAAATGGTAGAATAATGTGCGTTGTAGGATGGGCAGGCTCAGACGTCGGCACGGACAGACAGTGGCGAACATTAGTAGTTCTGTCTCCGACTGCATGACAAGGGCAGGTCAGAATATTACCCGTAAATCAGATAAGCATGTCCACCTTCACCAAATGCTATCTGCAGCGTGCGTTTTATACCCGGCCGGGTAATGCCAATCTCTTCCATATCTTCTCGGGTCAGTGACTTCAGCTGAGCAACATTCATGTTAAAATATCCTCTACAGACGAGATTTCGGCAGAGGGCGACTACTCACCACTTTGATAGTACGGAAACCATTATCAAGGATCGTATCCGCAAGGTCCCCAACACCATTCTCCTCCAGCAAAGTGCGAATCTCTTTCTCTTCGGACATCGTCAACTCTTGCTTGCAATATGATCAATTCGACGGAGACGGCTCTCCTGCAACATAGGTATATATATACATACATATATAAGCTGCCACAAAGATGCCCTTGTACTTGTAAAGCAAAAACGAAAATGTCAAACACGACTGGGGAACGAGCGTGCCTTTACACGTCTCATAGCACTGCACATGGATATACATCGGTATGAGGAGCATTCGAAACGGGCACCTGTCTCCAGCTCTGCGTACTGAGCTGAGTTTTCGCATGAGAAGCAAGATGGATGGACCAGTCGCCTACGGTCTGAGGCCCAAGCCGAGGCCGCATAGGTACTTCTGCGAGCGCAAGTCCTGAAGAGAATATACAATGAATTGAACAGAAAAGGGTCAAGTAGCTCAGTGGTAGAGCGCGGCGATGGCTCCTAGAGCCGCAACTTAAATGGCCATTCCCAGAGGCCGAGGACGGGGGTTCGAATCCTCCCTTGACCGATTGCTTTTTGGGCCGTTTTCTTCAGCCGTTGGTCGTGTGGATCTGGCGGGAAGTGCGTGGGGAAGTTTCCAGCTGCTGAGTTGCAACTTTTCCGCAACCGTCCGCAATCGTAGTGGTTTTCATTTTTCTGTGGCTTCTGCGGGCTCTGCTGGAAATGCGAGGAAAGGGAACACTTCTGAAGAATCACAACAGGTAGATCTAGAGGCTTCCAACTCCAAGTGTCAAGAGCAGCACCAGTTGTAGCACCACCGGGCATGTCGCTACCTCCGGTGCAAGACTTTCTCAACCGAGTCTCTAGTCTACCTTACCCGCATCGCATCCGTGAAGCTGCGATCCTCGGTAAAGGACATCGTCACAATGTCGCCCAATTGAAAACCTTTGTAGGGGAACTCTTACGCGTTGAAAGGCAACCCAACGGTTTTGCTCCATTGAAAGGGCAACAGACCAACATTGCACGGCACTATGATCGTCACCAGTTGGGACTGTTTGCTGCCGCCGCCGGTGGGCTGGTGGATGTCCTTCTCGAATACTTTAAACAAGTGCCATCAACATTGCTCAAACCATTGGTTCTCTCAGAATTGGTGAAGCAGGCTTCCAAGTGAGTACAGGCGTATGTCATAGTAGTGTATCCGGCAGATACAACGGCCCTAATCAGTATTTAACGCCGTCTCATGAACCCAGTGATGTCTTACAAAGTCTGATTCTGGAAAGTGAGAGATCCGTGCAACTGAAACTCGTACATGGTGCCATTCAACGATCCAAGTTCGACCTGGTGGATTTCGCAGTCAAGCACTGCTCGTTCTCTCGAGAAGAACTTATTCGAATTATTCATGGCTGCTCCACAGATGTGGTCAACAATTGCATTGCTGGACTGTGGCCAGATCTGGCACTGATATTATCCGACGAGGAGGAACGATTTCTCTTCAAAATAATGAAGTATGCATCAATTAGTATGACGCTTTGGTCATCAAAACTGGCTTTTGCGAACGGTTACTAACAAGCGTGGTGCACATACAGGCATCACCCTGCTATCTTTTTCCATCAGTTAAGGCAGACATTAGCCAACACCGAGCCAAGGAAAAGAGACACGGTCTGGAACTGGGTCTCTTTACTTTGTAACCGTGAGCTCGCGCCTTTTGCCGATTACATTCTCCAAGCCTGTAAAGAATATCCTTGGGAGCAAGAAGTCAAGGTCAAAAACGGGACGTGGCGAGCAGTCGCGGTTCCGCCTTCGGTGTTTCTGTCCACTGTTCAAACAGTCTTATACCGGAGGAACACGGATCGATGGTTGGCCATCGTATTGTCAGGGCTCGAAGCGGACTTGGATAATAATAAGGATTTTCTTAAAGAGGTTATTTCTCGGTAGGAGTCATTTGCTTTATGCGTGTACGTACCTTTCGATGAAACTTAACTATCCCAATCGGTTTTCAGGTTTCCCCAGACGGTGATGCAAGCTTTGACGCTTTCCATGTCTCAGTACGCTTCAATTTTGAAAAAAGTCATTCCGGACTGGGAGAAGGTGTTCCCGAAAGGCCGTAAGTCTTCCGGACGTCAGCCTTCGGAACATCTTGGTCTTCGCGTGGGTTGCCTCCTCTCGCGTGTTAGACTATCCGATCTGAATGAAGCAATCCGTTTCACCAAAGAGTGGTGCGTTAAAGTATCCAACCATAAGAGCCCGGCACAGCTATCCGAGCTCTACTACTTGTTCATTCTCGAAATGCGATTGAAGGGCTACAAGTTCCAAAAGCAGAAGGGTCGCGTTCCCCAGGAGACAGATCCGGCGACCTATTATTGGGGAAGCCCCTACCGGGACGAGAACCCTCGCTTCACATTCGAAGCGGACAAAAAAGTTTTTGATACCATCTGGACTGGATTCATTGCGGATGCCTTGGAGAATCTCAGTGCCGACGCCATGGTGAAGAGGGAAGAGATTGTACAGTGGCCGTTCGAAAGGCGTGTTGAAATGGTACACATACTTAAGAACAACTTGGGCGGGGACAAGTTTTTGGAATTCTGTCTCGATCAATTCCAATTTGTCAACGATGTCCTTGAAAGCGACGAGGCCTTTGCAGCTGCTGCCACACTGGCGTCTTTGGAGACTTTCCTTCGTACCACCAAGGAATTGAGTACAAGTGTAATGCTTGAGAGAAGTTTGGTTTTCGTTCCGCTTTCGGAGCGTCTGCCTATTATCGATCGCCTTCGATCAGAAGTGGACGAAGAGACTAAAGAACGTTTGCTAGCCTATATGGACCCTTCCGATAATGAATACCTTAAGCAGATCAGAAGCATTTTGAAGAATCATAAGTGTCCTAAAACCCGCAACAAGTCCTGGAAACATTGGAGACGAGCTGCATTACATGCCGATTCACCGGAAATGGTCAAGACCGTTTTGAAGGAACTGAGTGAAGGGATCAAAAACGAGACGTCAGCAACCAAATACGCTTTAATTCTAGACTCCCATGACGCTGAAAAATTTGCTCGCTTCTATCAGCGGCACGGATTACAGGACTCGCACATCGATCTTTGGAAGCAGTTTTACAACGTTTTGTTGGATTCTACTGAGGATTGTGCGGGATTGGACGTGGGGTTACGAACATTTGCCGAAGCGCTTTGTAAACACTCGGTCGACCACGATAAAGCTCACATCAAGATGTTTGAGTTAGGGAGCACCCTGGATATCATGATTTGGAAGAAGTCTCACTTGCTTGAAAAATACGAGATAATACTCCCCGACACCAGTAAACTCCATGACATAGCGCAGTGGAAAGAATTGGTTGCTGCGTGGTATGCAGCGGCAGAAGCGGCTCGTACTCCAGAAGACCAAGAAGAGGATGAAGAGTACGATCAAGTGGATGACATGACAGCACCGGAGCCCATATTACTGAGCGTGTTGGATAAAGCTGTAGAAGGTCTCAAGAATGGAGACTGGATTGAAATCGGTACACTTAAAGATTTCGCCGCTGAACAGTTGGATATTTTGCAAACAGCCGAGGCCACTGGACGGAGGTTCACTGAGCTTCATCTTTTGGATGTGGATTCGACACAGCGACAGGACGTAAAGTGGGCTTACACGGCCCTTTCCAAAGCGTTCCGATTGTATTGTAACCATGCGTTTCAAAGCATGAAAAAGAGGTCGGGTAGAGTTATGACACCGTTTGCGCAAATCAGAAGCAAGTGCCGCGCGAACAAACCTAAAAAGAGTGAAGCGGTCGACTATCAGCCACCCAATGAGGCAGCTGCGGAGTTCTTTGCAAAGTATGCCGAGCTGATGCTAAAAAGCCACCGAGCGGTGAGTTAATGATTTATTTTTTGTATATGAGCGAACTCTTCGGCGCTGGTAAGATTGACTGAGATCTTCTGTTTTTTTCTTGCAGTATGAGGTCACACAGTTTTATGTGTGGTACAAGTTGCGCGCAGCGGCAAGTGACCCCTGTGCCCAAAAGGAACGCATGAGCCAGGTGGTCTCCGAGCTCCTCAACATGTCACCATCGGCCATCCATATCCCGCTTGTGTACAAGTTCCTTTTCAGGCACCGCCAAGACCTTTTGGACGGGTACATTGCGACGGATGCCGTCACATGTGGACGATTCACCAGCGCACGGAGAGGAATCTACCAGAAGAGCATAGCACGCGTGGTTGAAGCTCGCAGAAGCCGAATTAAAATCGCCCTCGAGCGAAACAAGCAACCTAAGCTAGTGTTAGCCATGCGAAAAAATATCCACATGCTGTCTGCAGAGCAGTGCAGCAAATTTGCCACCCAACTGTCAGACGCCTTCCGTAGTAAAAAGGTAACTGAGACTGAAAGGGTCGCTGCTGCAGTGCGATGGGGGAAACTGCCAAGTGTGAACGCGCTGGACGTTGTTCAACAACTAAAGGATGCCGAAGCAACGTTACCCCCGACTGTGTACAAGCGCGTCCTGTTGGCGTACATGGACAATGATGAACCGCTTGCTCCTCTTCCGTACTTGCTCTCGGCCTCGGACTTGCGCAGATTCGACGGTGAAGTGCTGTTCAACGTCGTGGAACGAGCGCGACACGTGACTTCCACAGACGTGTGGTCCGACGCTGTGGACGCTCTGTGGGAAGAACGGGGCAAGTTCGGTGTGTCGTTGCAGAAGCGGCTGATTAGGTTATTGGGTACAAAAGCTGGTCCGAGTGATTTGGAGCGCGTTTATAAGATTGCGTTACACCCGCACACGCATCCGGATCTTAAGGTCGAAGGAATATGTGTTGCGCTTCAAACGTTGGAAACGGGAAAGACGGGAAGTGAGGAGGTTGCCTTTGAATTTTTTGAGCGGGTTCGTAATCAGAATGGTGTAGCGACCGAGGTGTTGGTAAGCATGCTGCGAGGTATACCGGATCGTACGAATGCAAGCAACCACGGCCGTTCCGACCCGAACCTGACGTTCAGCAAATTGATGATGAGAGCTGACCCTAGGGAAGCCGACGATATGTCATGTGATGACTCGTCGAGTTACCTTTATACTAAAGCAACAAAGGGGAACCCCAAGTTTAGAAGCACTCTTTCATTACACGACTTGGCCCAGAAAGTCAAGATCTCCGCTGCGTCGTCGCACCGATACCTAGAACTTGTATGTGCGCTATTCCAACAAGCTGATGAGAGTTACTACGTGAAGGCTATCGCCTTGGAAGTGATTTTGAGATGGGTCACCTTCAATCCGGTCGCATGTCTCCAAGTTGCTCGTGACGTTTTGCTTGGTGTTCGAGTACCAGAAGGGGAATGGAAGGAACGACAACATGGGTTGATGGCGAGTATGTTGGATGTCGCGTTTCGAGTGGTGCTTTGTGGTGTCAAGTGTGTTCCGGAAAGGATTGGAGACGTGGTGAGCGTGGTTGACTTTTATGTGGACAAGGTTTCTTCCACGCCATTTGATTGGGTAAGAGATGACGTCGCCGCTCTAATTGCTGCAAGCGCTTGGCACTCATTTCTGTGTTGTACTTTCAATAGAGGAACGAGTTGTTCTACCACCGTATTGTT